CCATTCTTAGAAGCATCTAAGAGTCGAAATAGAGCAGAACAAGGGGGTCTCATTCACCTAGTTTATTTCCCTGGAAAGACGGAGTAAGACAGAAAGAAGTCGGAAATGAGAAGATAACAAAATCGCAAATGTGGGTCCTTCTTGAAGCTTCTCTTTTGTCGAAATGAAAACTTTTGCATTTACTGGACAAGGACTCTGTCTCCCGGACAATCCAGCATAATATTAAGTCATGAGGGCAAAATGGTGCTGGAAACAAAATAAGCAGTCTCTGTCTCTAATTCATCAGATCTCCCGTGGGCCTACTCTGCCTTTCTTCGCTTCCTCGGGCCAGGCATTTATGCAACAAACAGGTCTTTGGGACACACAGTGTTCCTCAGGCTGAAGACGCAGGGGTGACTGTGCCCTCGAGGAACTTACAGACCAGCAAAACCAAACAAACAAACAAACAAACAAAAAAACTAAACTAAATATCTAAAAATTACAATGCGAGATGTTTGCATGATAAGCATATTGCAATAGGAACAGAAGTAGCACCGAAAAAGATGGGGATAACCAACCGTTTCCTGAGACCGTCAGGCAGGTTTCCAGAATTAACATCCGAGGCGAGGTTTTAAAGATAAGCGCGTATTTGCAAAAAGAGCAGGGCGGGAAGAGCATCTGTGCAGAAGAACACGTGCGAAGATTGGGGAGCAGGAAATAGCGTTTCGATCCGGGAACAATAAGCAGTTGTGTCTCTTCAGAGCGGAAAATAAGAGGACTAGCAAAGATGAGAAGAAAAAAAAAAACTAAGAAAGAGTTAATTTATGAAGTGCCTTACAGTTTTGCTAGGGCGATTGGATTTATTTATTGTATAGAAAATACCAAGCCACAGATGATTTTTCACTGAGCGGACGTGTGTTTCAGAAAGGTCACTCTGACAGCAGTATAGAGCAGTGCTCTTTAAACTTTCACATTCATTCGCTACGCCTGGAAATCCTGTTAAAATGCAGATTCTGATTTCCACGGTCTAGGGTGAGGTCCCAAGATGCTATATTTCTAATATGTCTCCAGGCGATGCTAATGTTGCTGGTCCTTGGACCTCACTTTGAGTAGTGAGAATAGAGGATAGATGAGTGGGAGATAAAGCGGAAGTCAGGGAAGGGAAACCAGTCGTGGGACTAGCGTAAGCTTTATGTGAGCAGTGAGCAGTGACGATCTCCTAAATTAGGAAGTGTCAGTGGGAGATAAAAGGAGACAGTTACAGAACTGTTTTTAGAAGTTCGTTTTAAAAGGACTGAAGACAGAACTCAAGGATGACACCAAGTCTCACTCGCGAGTCTGAGAGATGAGGTGGGTGCTGCTCCTGACCAAGAGAGAGAATGTAACAGTTTCCGACATGGTTACCAGGCAACAGAGTGAGAGGCGTGGTATCGGAGGAACTATCAGACAGCTGGCAGGGGAGGTCGGAAGGTAGTTTTGGACATCTGGGTCTGAAAATCAAGGAGAGACCTAAGCGAGCATCGGAAATTTTAAAATTATTAGAATAAGTTACAGTAAAAACCGACAAGGAATAAAGTACCTATTGCGTTGGCAGTGAAGGGAAAAAAGAAGCCTGGATATTGACGCCTCGGATTTATCAATAATAGAGGGTAGATGGAAAAGATTCAGATACGGAAGTTGAGAAGGGACAACTGGAAAGACATCATGCCTGGATGGAGCAGTGTCTCTCAACCGAAGCATTCAAAGGATGGTCAGTGAAGTCAAATGAAAGGACTGAGAAAAGCCCCATAAAGCACATCAAAGTCTCCCTGCCCCTACTCCGTGGTGGGGACCACGGAGTCCTAGAAACACCAAAACAGAACAAGCAGAGAAAGTCTAAGACATTCTTTCCTAAGCCACTGGAAGGCCCCGACAAATCTTTGAATACTTTAGCTTCCCCATCTGTTTTGTAAATCTAAAACTAAAATCTTCTTAAGCTTAGCCCTGAATTCCTTGCTCTCGTAGGTGTAATGATTATATTTTACCACCTTCCAAGGAAGGAACTTGGTGGGGGGAGTTTGCAGGGAGCTATTCCCCCATCTACAAAGTTATTAGCAAAAGATCCCTGTGACAAGGTATCAAAAGGACTGAATGCTTTGCAGGAAGCATCTGTCTTTGTTAGACAGATGAGTGGTGCTGATGGTGGCAGTGGTGTGTGTGTGTATCTGGGGCAGAAGGGAGAATTGAGAGGGAGATGGGGGCAGGCAGTAGCGGGGAAGCCAGGAGGGCGTGGCATAACATGGCCAGGTAAATACGGGACACTCGGGTAAACCGGAATTTCATATAAACAATGAATAATTTTTAGTATAATTATGTCCATTGCAAACTTAACTCAGTATCTTTTACTTTTATTTGCTAAATCAGGCAAGCCCAGTGTGGCGACCCTAGCACATTCAGTAATAGGACCCAAGCAAGGGCTGACTTCCAGTTAGGGCTCTAAATACCTTGCACATCGTTGCCCACTAATATCCTTAAAACCATTAGGCTCCTTAGGCATAAGCCAATCGAAAACAGTCCTGCGCAGAACCTGGAGATTAGATAAGACCTCTTAGGTTGCCTGTCAGATCTGAGTTTTTAGGTCCCTACAATCACAAAATATATTCGAAAAGACCCATTTAGAGATGATGAGGGAAACCTCCCATCTGCCAGCTGCCCACATCTGGAATTGTGGGGAAAGCCAAGTGCTTACGTGTCGGTGGCTTTTGACATGTAGTAGCCATACAAGCTGTGGACATCATAATGAAGGTTCTGGAAAAACTCGGTGTCCATGCAGAGGGTGCCTGCGAAAAGGGAGCGGTCCAGAACTCCTGTGGGGGGAGAGACGCATCAGTGAGGCACCTCGCTGTCAACCAGCCAGAACAGGCGTCTGCTTCCTGGTTCCTGTAACTTCCCCGCCAGTCTCCACCTGACAAAATCCTTTCCAGATTTTAAATTCTGCCGTCAATTTGCATTCCCCCGAGCTCACAAAAAATGGTGCTGGCCACTGAGAAATAAGCCCAGAGCAATGGGCAGTTGATCTGAGATAAAATAAAACACACACCTATATCTACATATATTTAATCAAGAAGAATTGAGTGTATAAAACACAGATATGAGGGCCGTGAAAAATGAACATATTCACTCTTATATTACAAGCACTCGCACCTCGATGACCTTTTTTTTTTAAAAAAAAAATGAGATATGATATTTGGGTCTCTTCATGAGTAAAAACTCAGATCCCGCCTCTAGAAATCACCATCGTTACTGCATTTCCCCTTTTTTTCATGCCTAAAATGCGCAACGTTTTCTTTCTTGTGGCTTGCAGTTTTGTTCTTTCCCGCCTCTCCCTTGTAGACCAATCACTGGGGGCCACGTCTCCCCTCCCTCACGGAGCCTGGCCTGTTCATAGGGCCTCAGTCTGAGGCACAATTCCAGAAAGCGGTGGCACTAGGAAAGACTGAGGTTGAGTTTTTCCCACCAACCCAACAGAATCAGGATTTGGAGAGAGACATTACATTTAATTATAAAATACAAAGAAATTATATTTCTGGTATAGCTGAGATTCACAGCTATACCAGACTGAGATTCACAACCACAACAATGATAAGAAAGGACACTAAAATTTTTCCATGCACGAAGGTAATTTATCTAAATCTTTCTCACACTAATGCGTACTGTCCAATCCTGAGAAGGTGGGAAGCAGACCAGCTATGAGGCAGAGCAGCTGGTCATATGCATGGAGGTAGATAAAATGCTTGCCGGGAGGTAGGGAATGCGGTGCTTGCCAGAAGAAGGCAGAAGGTGATAGGATTGCAGTGTGCTATAGGAAACAAACAAACAAACAAACAAAACTTCGTTTTGGCTAAGAAGAAGATTAAGAAATTCAAAGGGAAGTATGATAAACTGATCCACAGTGAAAAAGACTGGGGGAACACAGACTGAGCAGAGAAGAATAAAGAATAAGCAGGGTAAGCACATGGTAGATTTCACAAGTAGTTAAGTGGTTTGATGTCAAAATTCATCCTAAAATGTTCTCTACTCTTTCAGTGACCAAAAGGGATTTAAAACAAAACAAAACGAAACAAAACAAAACAAAAAACAGCTAAACCTTGGCTCAAGGGAGTAAGTGAAGTGAACAAACCAGAATAAACTGGCAGAGACTGGCCAGATGCTCACCAAGCCAGTGTTCTCTTCCTGGGGGTATAAGATTATATTTCACATTTTTGTTGAAGTTTAGCTGACGCTCTGTGATTGGACTCTGGCCAGAGAAATGTGAGCAAACTGAATACACGCCACTGCCAGGCCTGTCTCTAAAGCTTCCTCTACCCTTTCTCTCACCTAGGAAGCTGGAAACAAAGGACTCCGAGATAGGAGAACCAGGCAATGGAAGTAACTGGATCCCCGAGTCATTACTGGGATGAGAGCCACACATCCCACGCTAGAGTATTATATAAGTGAAAAATAAACTTTCACTGTGTTAATCCACTGAAATGGGGTCATTTGTTTCCACAGCATAATCCATCAATCAATCAATCAATCAATCAATCTCACATACACACACACATTCTCTCAAAATCTGGGACTAACAAGCTGACTTTGACTAGAAATGGGACTTATAAATAGGAAGGACTAATAGGAACCATTGATTCTTTAAACTATTGGTAATAAACTAAACAAACACATAAAAAAATTAACAAGATTACAGATTTACTCCAATGGAAGGTAGTGTGCACTTCCAGTACTCTGATATCCTCACAAAGTTTGAACTAGAACCACCTGTATAAGGGGTTTGGAGGATGTAAACAGGTAGAAGAATGTAGACTCGAGAGAGGAGGTACAGCCCCGTGGGGTATGACCTTCACCACATGCCTGCCCTTGGACTATAAGGTCCTCAGAGACCAAACAAGGCAGCACAGTCTCCAGGAGAGGGTGGACAGAGGGTTGGGGTGGGGCCCCTGGAACTGGGAAGTAAAATAGTTCTCGGCCACGCTGTGTTCCACAGAGGTTGCTTTAAACACGTCCCACGCCTTCATCATCAGCAAACAGGTGCAAACTTACGAGGGGTGAAAGGAGGAAAGTTCAAGCTGTTGTCTTCACACTCACGAGCAGAATTGGGGAGAAAGCTAGAAACTTCATCCATTTCCTTCAGAGGCACAAAGTACACAAAGTGGAAAATGTTACTGATATACAGTTAGCTGTTTACTGAACTGGGAGCCAGAAATCTGGGATTTCTTATTAACTGATGCTGGGAATCCTAAGTAATCTTCCTAAACTTGCTTGACCTCTGTTGTATCTTTTGAATTTGACTGTACCTAAGGTGACTTCCAATTCTAAATGATATCAGGTACATTTTACCTTCTATACACTGATTTCAATCAGGTAATTAAGGAATATACCATTCCAAAGGCTGATTCTTATAGGTCGCTTTTATTGCTGCTAATATTGTTTCCGTATTGTTTTAAAGAACCTAATACAGGGTAATAGTCTATTTTATAATTTCCCGTCTTTTATTCCACTCGATGTGGGGCAAAGAGAAGATATAATTAAAGTCACCTCCATTTCTTTACAATAAATTAAAAATAGGTGATATGTGATCCCGTAAACAAAATTTCTAAGAAATGTCACCACCTGCTAGCTTCTAAAAAATAAAAGGGGCCCATTAAATTGGTCTCTAATGATTAAATTTTAATGAATCACTGCTACAAATAATAGGAACTGTAGTTTCTAAAAAACAGTATTTTTAAGCTGAAAGACAGTTAATGGAGGAAAAAGCTGAGGCCATGAGAAAGCAAAAAACTTTCTCAAGAAGAAATAACCCGTTGGTGGCAGACTGGAATGAAAATCTAGGGTCTCAAGGGGTCTAATTTATTGCATTTAAGCTGAGCATTCAGCAATGTCAAATAAATTATTTTATTCCAGCTTAGGATCAAAGTTCATCTCAAAACTCGAAGCATCCATTTCCAAAAGAAGTTCGATCCTAGAATAACAACTTACAATCCACACTCCATCAAACTCCAGAGTCTTATAGAACGCTTGGAATTCTTCTGTCCACCACTGAGTACAATCTGGATTACTGAAATCAGGAAAGACCGTCCATCCAGGGTACCCCTAAGGAACAAAGAAGGAGGCTACGGCAATTAGTTTGCTTGATGCTTCACTCACGCATTTATTGCCGGCTAATATTTCTTTTGTCACAAACCCATGTACCTTAGTATTTCGGAATCAAAATCCGTGATTCTCCTTCCCCCCAAAATTAAATGATAAAATAGATGCAAGCAACCAAAAGAAGACAAAAAGAAAAGAAAAGAAAAAAAATAAATAACAACTGATTATATAGATAAAAAGCCAACAAGTATCTTTTTCCTATGATAAAAAAAGTAAAATTTTATTATTTCAGGCCAATTGGAAGACCTGTTTAAGATACCAGAGAGTCTAACTATATAATATTTTAGAAGAGAATGACTGAATTTAATGTGTTGTTCATTAAAGGTCGTCTAAAACCTGCTTTGAATAATGCTGTTTATAAATAAGACATTGGGGTTTTTTTTGGGGGGTGGCATATGAACAATCTTTTTCAAATGGTTAAATAAATTTTGTGCTTCTCACTCAAATCAAATATTTCTTATTCTGTCTTCTCTTCCTATCTATTCCTATCAGATTAGCTTTTAACGTTTTCTACAAATAGCACAAAGATATAGTCATAGCCCAATTACTATAAATTTGAATTGACAGGATACAAGCCATGGTGCATATACTCTTGCTTATTTCCCCAACAAATTTATAGGTTGTCATTTAGGGACAACTTTATGCTCAGGCAATATAACAAATATCTCTCTCTCTCTCTCTCTCTCTCTCTCTCCCATTTAGGGACAACTTTATGCTCAGGCAATATAACGAATCTCTCTCTCTCTCTCTCTCTCGATCCTGGTTCTTTGTATTAGGTGAAGGGCACCAAATAATAAACAGAGCTAATTTTGAACTTCAGGAAACAGATGGTGTTACAAAGGTGTCACCTACAGCAAGTCTACCTAGAGCAGACCCAGAAAACGTCATTCTAACCAAAGTCCTTTATAATTAACCCACACCATCTCCACTCCTACTACCTCTGCCAACATCTCAGATCAAATGATTCATGCTATTTAATGGCCAACGGAGGTAACTTATCTAATTCAATTTTTGTGATTATATGCAAGTTCCTAATTATATACCATTCCAATATGAGTACTACTGAAACGACTCATGGGTCTGGATAATCTACTTCTTAGATAAAGCAATTTTTATGTGACCATGACCACCGATTTTGTACTTGTATATGAATATCGGCCTGTCTGATATTTTAGAAACTCACTTCAAACGAAATAGTAAAAGCAAAGAATTGGTTTGGAGAAGGAGGGCAACTTCTCTACTGTCTCATGAAAAGTCAGAATCAATGAAAAAGAAAGTAAGCAGAATTAAGTATTGCAGACAAAGTCAGTGACAGGGACTAAATGAGCAGTTAGGTAAAGGATTGATAACCCTGAAGAGACAAGTTTTGCCAAGTTAACTGCCCATGCACGACAAGAGCTGCTGCCACATGAACTTTCAGATGGAGTACCAGTCTCAGTAAATCTCCCCTAATCCAATCATCTAGGGCTGACCCTACACAAAACTGAAAGAGAAGGTTGCCTACCTGATTTGATTTAAAATACTCTCAAATACTCAGCTGCCCTGAAGACGGGTTCCTCAATGGCCTGCTCCAATGCCTGAAACTGCTACCTCGGAATAAAGGCTGGGCTCTATCTATAAGTCTCATGTAAATTAAAAATATATTGGCTGAGACACGTTTCACATTAGCCTATGAGCATCTTGCTACATTATCATAGTTGAATTTTTGTCTCAGGAAAGAGATCGAAATTATGAGGCAGAAGAATTTCAAGAATAAATGACCTTTCTTCTACTACTATATTGCTTCTCAATTATCCATATCATTAGAGGATTAGGGACTAGCTTACTAGTGACTAGGTCTTTATTATTTTCACTGCAAAAGAGAAATGAAAGTTATGCGATGTGATAAAGGTGCTATCACTATAATGGCAATCATACTGCAGTATATAATGGACACGTTGTACCTTTACATTTATACAACATTACATGTCAAATATATTTCAATTAAAAAGTAAATCCTTCTGAAATTTAATCATTCGATTGCTCTATCTACTGTTTTAAAAATAACAGAAACCTCGAAAGCCATGAAAACAAGCAATGATACTGTAACTTGCCTTCCACCTGTCTTCATATCAAAAGCACAAACTTTCCCAAATGACTGTAACTTACTCTGATTTTTTTTGAGATATTACCTGCCCAATGACAAAGCCATAGTCCCACAAGATCCATACTCTCTTTTTACTTCCATTCGTAAAGGGCTGGTAGTCAGAATCGTTTAAGATGCCGGGATTCTAATGAATGAATAAATAAAATAATAAATCTTGTTTTTATGCATTTCTTTTGCATTTTTAAAGGAAAAACTAAGCAACAGAATAAGTGTTTAAACATACCATAATAATTACATATTTTTGTCCTTGATCATGTAAGTTCTTGGCAAAATCTGCGAGACCATGAAAAGCCTTTTCATCAATAGTGAAATCCTTCTTTGCATCCATGTAGTCTATGTCAGAGTACTGGACATCCTGGAAGATAGTGCTGGTCAGTTTGAACCCAGGAAATATTATCGTGCTGATAATTCTGGTTCTCAATCATGAAAACAGATGTCACATTTCTTAATGGTCCTGGAACTCTCAGGACCCGGCTTCCTCTTAGGAGTAAATCAGCCCCTTCTGCTCTTAGGTTGCAGTTTTATCTCTTTGCCCTGATAGATGCATGTCATAAAGTGCTGGGAAGAACTTGTGGAAAGGGACTGTGTCTTGTTCATCCCTGGAAGCTGAGAGCTGGGATGCTTGACACAAAACAGGAACTCTTCCCATCTTCGTTTGAATGAGTGCATTGGTAAAGTTATAACCATGTACTGACCTGGACCCTAAACATCAAGCTAGAATATATCATAAGAGGAGAAAAACGGTCTTCTTGCCTTATAAAACCACTGGGATAATAATTAACAAGCATAAATGACAAAGGGATGGAGCTTGAATTAACCAAACTCTTGTACACACATTATTTTTGTGTTTACATACCAATCTGTGAGGAGCAGGTGTCATTCTTAGTGAGAAGACCGAAACGTAATGGGGTTAAGTGACATGCATGGCCACATGCATGAGTGCGTATGTGGGGGGATCATTGGCGCTTTGGGGATAGACTCGTTGACTCCAGGTGCTCTTTTGTTCCCATCTGCCACACAATACAAAGGTCTTCTCAGCAAGTATTTTGCATGTAGCTGTGCATTAGAAGCTCTAGTTTACAGACAAGAAGGAGTGTGGCTTGTGGCTTGTGGCCTGTTGCCAGCACAGCATCATCTGCTCCAGTATTGGTAGTCATTTAGGACCCAGGTACCCTCCATGGCCATGTGCTGGGAAAGATCTGGTCCATGAATGCAAAGCTCATTTGTTTCTGAATCAGCCACCATCTCCAAAGTCCCTTCCCATCGGAGGCATGAGGATCAACTAAAACCAACACCACGTGTAGTCAAAAGAACTGCTTTCGAATCCTGGCCCAGCCATTTAGCTAGCTGTAGTGACCCCAGCAAAGGTATTAACCTTACAGTGTCTCGTTTCCTCATTTACAAAATAGCAGCAAATGCCGGTTAAGCTTGAATAGGAAAGCACTTGTAAATTAATTAAGATGTGGCAAGTGCTGGCCTGATTCCTCCTGGAATCGAGTGTTTGCAGACAGCAGCCATAGGAGGAGCAAAACAAAATACATAATCATTTCTCCTTAACACAAAAACAACATGGCCGTCATGTTTTCTCACAGGAAGAACTCATCTCCTTGCCTGTCCTCACTGCTACTCTGAGAAGGTAGGGACTGAAAAATCCCAAAACCAGGTCCAAGCCATTTCCACCCATGATATCTTCCTTTAGATATTGACCAAATATATGCTTGTACCACAGCTCCAAAGATGTAGCCCAAAATAAATTATTTTGATAACTTCATTAACCACATATTATGGAACTCCAGAAGGGGACTTTTCAAATATTATACACTTAATAATTATCTTTTCATTTACTAGTGGACATTGGACATCATAAATGCTTTACAATCACAGAACTTTCAAAATTAGTCAGCTAGATCCGAAGGGCGTGATACAAGGTCATTACGAGAAGCTCCCTCACTATGAGTCATCAGCACTTATTGACCAAGTCAACCCTGGTGCTGCTTTCTCTTTAAAATAGCCACTAACTTTGATGGAGTTCAGCCTCTGTGTCACATGCTTTACACATATCATGTAGGACACGCTTCACAACCAGTCCACAAAAGTAAGTCTTACATTTTTATTTCATTAAGGAGCAAAATAAGATACAGAGTTGATAATTAACCAGCTCAATGGTGCACAGGGCTAAGAAGAGTTAAAGCTAAAATTCCAAATCATTTCCATCTGACTTTATAAACTGCTCTTTCCATGACGACAAAGGTAATTTAGCATGCAATATGCATATGACGTATTATTGAACTGTACACTTGAAACCTATACAATTTTATTAATAAATGTCTCCCCCTAAATTTAATTTAAAAAATTTATCAAAGTAGGTGTGTCTGTCTATCTATCCATCTGTATTTTTCCTAATAAGTTGAATTAGATGCAAAAAATAAAAGATAGGAAATGGTGCCTTATGCAAGAGAAGAGAAGTTCCAACTTACGTATGGGATCATAGCTTTACGATTTCGGTTTACGACCTCTTCCAATTCCTCGATGCTACCATAATTCCTGCGACTCAGCTGGAACCCAAGATTCCAGTAGGAAGGCAAGAACGGTCGTCCAACGAGCTAGAAAGATAAAGAAGTGTATAAGCATTTAGAAAGAACACTGTTTGTAGCATCATGTCTGATGCTACATTGTCTCCATTTCATTTTCTGTAAAGTCCCCAGATCTAAAATCTCAGAGCCAAGAGTAATTGCCTGGGGGAATTAGCAAAATTCCACAACTCGCATCTTTCTTTCCTAAGTACTAAATGCACCTTGCCAACTACAACTACAATAATTGGATTTGTAAAAAATGTTTGAATAACAATGTCATCTTGGGGAGAAAGAAAGAACCTTCATTCACACAATAAATATTTTCAGAGTGTTGACGACGTGGCAAGGGCGGATGTAGGCACTTGGGATATAGAGGCATAAGGCAATCACAGTTCTGCTCTCACAGAGCCTAGAGGAAATGAATGTCTAACAGGATTTCAGATAGCAGTATGTGCTAAGGACAAAGGAATAAGAACTGACAGGGTTAAGAGTGGGATGGGTGAAGAAATACTGGACTACGTTCAAAATCCAAGTTTACAAGTTACTCAAGCCAACATTCTGAGAAGATCTCAGAGATGTGTCCTACATTGTTCCCTAAGCACCCCGTCCCCTCATGTGACAGTCTCCTCAGCAGGGTGCTCCGTTTCATGCCTCTGAATTTCATGAATGGCATTTATTATAAGGTGTTTCCAATTATCATTATTTCAGGCCGTGTCCTATTTCTTGTATTTGATCATAACTCCGCTGGCACTAGGACTATATTTCCTATTTCTTTATGTGCCATCTTGAACAAAGCACTTCACCTTTCCATACCTGAGCTGCCTCATCTATAAAGTAGGAAGTTTGAGCCAATGTGTCTAACGCTCCTTCCCGTCCTACAGTTTGAGTAGAACATAAACAGCAACCAATTCCTTTTACGTAGTTTCATTTCACTAAATTCGTATTTATTGAATGAATGAATAAACTTTGCCGATTGGTGGCCTCAGATCATTGGAGTGATTGATCACACGTGGAAAGACTTTGGGTTCCTTGAAGATACGGTAGTATTTGACTTCTTTTTGCATTTTTCAAGCCTTCTATGGTGCTTTTTTAGCACATAGAAGACACTCAATAAGTGTGATCAGAATAAACATACAATAAATGAAAGACTCATGATCCCAGCATCTGTAATCTATAGTTTACTCATAAACTTTCATTTTCTCTTATTAATTTATAACAAGTATCTGAGAGAAGGGCAATAAAGAATGACTATCTAGATACAAACCCATGGGGGCAGGGGAAAGGTAGATGCGGTAAAGGGGGTCAAATATGTGGTGACAGAAAGAAATCTAACTATAGGAGGTGAACACACAGTGTAAATATATACATATGACTTACTGTTAAAGTGTACAGCTGAAACTTATTGACTTTCATTAACCAATGTCATCATAAAAAAAAAAAACTAAAAAAATAATAAGAATAAAAATAAATAAATACAAAGCCATACCTCCAGGTACTCCTGCACCACTTGTTCTGGAGTGTTCCCTAGGAACACATAAAAGTCAAGAATGCCCCCGATCGTGCGGTAAGTGACTGCAGGTGCAGGCTGAAGGGTGACCTCTGAAAGGGTTAAAATGAGAGTCATTACAATTTCGTGGTTGAAAATATATTCCTCTCTAAATACCTGAGCTACCCCAAATGGTCTCAGTCTCATCGTAAAAGAAATGAAAATCACCCGTGTTCCTTTTTTTTTCTAGATGATTGCTGAAGTTTATCAGAATGACAAATGAGTAAAGTGCCACTGAAGAATAAATTTTTTCAAAAGAAGAACAAATTCTATTTTAATCTAGACACATAAAAATACAAATGTCTGGGATTTGCTAGTGAAGAAAAGTTTTAAAACAACTTCTTAGATGAGGTTAACTACAATTAAAAATAAAAACAAACCCTTATTAGAGCAGCAATAGTCGAAGCTGGAGGAAGGAAGGAAGGAAGGATCACGGAGTGGGAAGAGCTAGGCGATGAGAGACAGCCTACAGACAGACGGCATGGTCCACATGCTGAAATCTCTGTATCTTTGGGACGTGTCTATCAATGAACCCTACTATCTACAGAATACCATGGAGAATATTCCATAAAAAGAGAACGCTGAAGCAGTTTTCAATAAAATAACTTTCGGCATTAACTGGATTCATAGACAGGTTAACCTACACTGGGTTTCCAGTTTTTATACGAGCATAGTACATCCGATATGCCTCCGTTAAACAGTGATGTCACCATGGAAGCTGTTTTTATAAAAGCGGCATCCCAAAATATATCCCTGCCAAGAGAAAAAGATGCTCCCTACCCATCGCATTGCTGTTCATCAGAAAAACTCCGAGAGAGGAGCCACTGGTGTCCTCGAGGCACAGGAAGAACGTGTGAGCTCCGTACAGGTTAATCATGCCCTGTCGACAAAAATGGGAAGAAATAATGGTATGCGTTTAAAATGCTTTTAGTCACCCCCAAATAAAATCAAAAGCCATGCACTACATGTATCTGGTTAACTCTTGATGTAGTTTGGTACTATACCAAAGAGTTACCATTGAAATGGTAATACTGACTGGCAAATGGACAAAATATAACACACTCACATGATGGAATGCTCTGAGGAATAATAAGAAATGAACTACCACATTACAATGTTAATAACCCTCACATATGTTGTGTGAAGTGAAGAAACAGAACCAAAGATCATATATTGCGTGATTCCGTTTCCCAGTAATATATTTTAATTGTATTTTATAAAAGTATTGCCCATACTGGATTATTAAAAAAAAAAAAAATTAGAGAAAGGGAAAAAGGAAGGAGGGAAGGCAGGAGGGAAGGAAGGAGGGAGGGCAGGAGGGAAGGAAGGAGGGAAGGCAGGGAGGAGGGAAGGAGGGACCAACCCTTCGCCAGGTCGGATGAGAGGCACTGCTCCAGACCAGCTCTTCTCCCACTTTGCGATGCATGTGACTCCCTTGCGGATCTTATTAAAATGCAGATTCTGGTTCCGGAGGTCTGAGCCATAGCCTGAACTTGCACATTTCTAATACCCTCCCAGGCAGGGCCACCCCTGCCATCTCGGCAACACGCTCAACCAGCAGCGGCCTAGAATAATATTCAAGCTGCCGAAAGAGGCCTTTTTCAGTCTACAGAGTTCTACGAGAGTGGCTCCCGCTGAAGTTCTCCGGAGCCTAGACACTACTCACGTATTAACGACAGAGCTAGTTCCTTTGCAGAAGTATTTTCTAATATATGTTAGGCTCTGATATAGTCATTAAATTATATTTTTTAAGTGAAATGTTTTCTAAAATTGATATATTTCCACCGTAAGTTTATAAACCTCAAGAAGAAGAATTCTCCAACACAAACAGATCGAAACTGGGCAAAATAATCAGTAGCCGTAACGCTGTAGGCTGCTGCCCTCTGCCGGCTGCTCTCGGGAGAGGAGAGAAGGCGTCAGTCCCTTGCTGGGCTCAGTCGGCAGGAGGACGGGGGCCTCACCTGGGTGGGCGTGCTGTTCCGGGTGAAGATGGGCCACGTCCTCCAGGCCATGCTGTGACGGTACTGCTGGTGCACGTGCTCCCCCAGCCCGTACACGTTGGCGCTGGGCAGCCGGAGAGACAGCTGCAGGTACTGCTGGGCGAACAGGAGGGGCCCGATGCTCGTGTCCAACCTGGGCCATGGAATGAGAGCGACAGTCACCAAACGGCTGCCTCTGCCAAGACGCGGTCTGCTCCTTGACCTGTCCGCTTGGGGAACGGTTGTTTCCTGGGTTATCGCCCACTTCCAGGCTGCCTTGGAAGACCCGTCTAGGGGGGGCCTCTGTTTCTTTCATTCTAGAGGAGAATTACTCAAGTAGAATGATCGTGGGAAGAGAGCAGACGCAGCCTTGCACCCCACAAAGAAACCGAGACTGAGGAGGGGAGGCGCTCTGCGGCGCAGCACGCAGCTGACTGGCGACATGCTGGTCCCAGGATTCGAATACAGGTTTTACCAACACGAATCCTTGTATTTCCTGCAGTGCAATTTATGACTGAAGCTGACTTAGGCTGCCTTAGGTGCTTGACGGTAATTTTCTCAGGAAAATAATAATGTGGAAAGATAAATCGCAAAGTTGAGTTATAGCATGAATGGTAATCCAAAATAATAAAATTCCCTACTTCATTATATACGTGAACCACAAGTGTATTTACATAACTTAGCAAACCAGCACATGACAGTTTAGTATTCTTTGCTCTGTAATCATGACAGATTAGTCGTATCAGTGATTGGTAGTAAAAGCTTTGACATTTTTCTGAGGTTCAAAGATTTTCCCAAGTCATACTTATCTGCTTGCCCGCCCACAGAAAGTCAGAAGGAATGGTATCGGGACTGTATATTCAAAGACATGTAGAGTGTCGAAAAGCTCACAAGACTCTTTGGTTGCTCGTCCTCGTTATCTTGATGCTGAAGGGTTTATGGGTGACCTCGACGAAATAGTTCAAATTGGAGGTGTCGGCAGTCCCATTGAACTGCTTACCACTTTCATGGGGGACTTCGTAGCGTTTGTTATACAGATCAGTGATCTGTCAGAGGAAATGGAAAGGACAGCTCCGGATAAGACCACTTCCCCGTGGAACCACGAACTAGTCTCACCCCCACACAGCCCCCGGTGAGAACAGCTTCTCATTCTTTGCCCTCTGTTTCCTGATTTGTGAGAAGAAATCACCTAATCACATGTCCCCCATCGAATTAAAAATTCGCCTGCTTATCGCATCTGGAGCACCCCACAGAGAGAGACAGAGCTGCCTCCACGCCTCTGCGCGGGGGGGCCAAGGCCGGGGGCTCTGCTCTCTTCGGAGGAATCCTCGGTGGTAACTGCCGAACCAACCTTGAAATGAAAACGATTGGATGTCTGAAATTCAGCTGTGAAGAGGGCATCGCTGATATCATTGCCAAACAGAGATGGGGATGGCAACCTTTTCAGTTGGACAGTAAACCCTAGGGATGGGGGAGGGGGTCGGGGGAGGGGGAAAGAGAGAGAAAGAGAGAGAGCGAGAGAGAAGTGTTTAGCCTTTATTTTGCAGTCAACTTATCTGGTCTTCGAGAGTTGTTCCCTTGGGCAACGTTAGGGCAGTGCTCACCTGTGCTGGTATTTTTTGTACCACTGCTGTCTTCATAGCCCCAGTTCCTGGGGAAGAAGCACCTAGGGACATCAGTATTTGTCACAGGCTTCCAGCAGCACTTATATCGCCATCTGCACATTTCCTGTAATAATTGCACGGTTAGAATTATATAGAGTGAAGGAAGGGAAGTATTATTTGTCGATTTATAACAAATTTTTTCCAAGAAGAATTTAAGGTCATAATTATTTTCAGTCATTTATTCATTCTTCTTCTAGTCATATATTTACCCAACCATCCAATATGCATTTATTATCTACCAGACGAGGAACTAAGACTATAGATAAGACACGGTTCTTGCCTTCTGCAAACGTACAGTCTAGTAGTAAACCGAGACGAGGGCAGTATGCTGAGATGAGTGCTCCGCTAGAGTGTGCCCAGAGGCTAAGGGGACCTGCACCATTGTAGCCAGCCTAGGAGGCTGTGAGTGGTGTGGGGAGGCTTCTGGGTAGGCGAAAGGTAAGCTCAGGCCTAATGCATGAGGCGGGGTTAGACAGGTGAATAGTACAACAGTATTCCAGGCAGAGAAAGCAGCCATGCATGACAGACTCAGAAAAACCAGAAGTTCATTGTACCAAGAACACTGAGTGAGGGAAATGAGGCTGAAGGCACATGATATGCACACCAGCGGGGAGCTGGGAGCCAGAACAAGCAGATTGGACTTTCTCATGAGGATGAGTCACGGAAATGGCTAAAAATATGGCATGAAGAAATGCATTCCTGAAAAGCAAAAAAAAAGTGAGGCAAATGAAAATAGAAAACCTTAAGATAGAACTAGAACTGAGGGTAACATTAAAAAATTCAGAATATCCACAAGGCAAAAATAAACCGCGTATGGTTTGTCAGAGTGGTGTGATTATGGATTTTAAAAAGTATTACTTGGTGAGATGTATTTTCTAAAGGTTCTACAACTTTCAGATGACCTTCTACAAAAAATTATTTTGTTAAATAAATAAAATAGATGGCAAATTGAATCTAAATGTTGACATAAACAGGTACCCACCTCTTCGCCCAACCAGATTTACATGAAGTAATAGAAGAGCCATGAAGAAAAAAAAAAATACAAATTCATTATAAAACAGCAAGATATACAATACAGAAGACCGGGAATGTCATGAAATTCCTGAACCATAGAAAATAGAGTATAGCAACTCTAGGGGAAAATAGCCTAAAATACAAGAGGAGAAAAGGAAGTGCCCCAAGCCAAGTCAGTGTGGAGAGGTGGGGCAGGACCCGGGACAGGGTTACGGATGAATGAGGAGGCTCTAGTACGCACATTTAGCTGCCCGATCTGATGCTCCTGACAGCTACTGCTAAATGCTTGCTAACTGTTGGGCCTCTCGCAACATCTGCTCCGAGGCTGAGAGCACGAGGAGAGATTCTGGGAGCCAGAAGGCAGGGCATCTAATAAACCAACCCCCCTTCGCCCCAGATAAGTACCTAGCGGTCTTTTCCTTCCGTCCTAAATGCTCGGCCACGGTTTATAGGACGAGCGGTCACAGATAACGAAATACAGAGGTGGCAGTTAAGGACCACCAAATATATGAGAGAAACCAGCGCCACAATAGAAAGGCATCGGGCTTAATAAGCAGAAGAAGCAAATTGGAAGAAACAGTGAAACGAAAAACATTACCAGCCTTCGAAATAAATATACTTATTATTTTCGGAGAGAGGCACACAGCTGTTGCTTCTATGAAAAAAAGCAACAAAGAATACTGAAAGTTAAAATGTTGAACAAGATTTAAATCTTATTACTATTCTGACTGAATAATAAAAAGGAAACAGTAAAAGAGAAATGTTGAGACAAAAAATTTTTTTAATAAAGTTTAGTATTATCCTAGGACATAATACACAAAGACAAAGATACGGAAAGTGTGAGACTAAGTGAAGTGACCAGTGGACACAGACAGCATTGCGCAGCTAGAAGATTCCAAACAGACTGAAATGAGGGCACGGGTGAGGAGACAGGGAATCAAAGAAAGAGAGAAAATCAATGTTATGTATGATATACGACTCCGTAGACAACCCAAGAAAATAAACCCACAAGAACGACATGAAAAACTAATGCACAAAAGCGGTAATTAATGAAAGAGGAAAGAAGCAAGTATGTAGTGATCAGTTTAAAACATGGCACGAGAGGCTCTGCTGCTCCAGGTTTTCATCTAAGGTCCCGGGAGACAGTGCTGTCAGCAAGCATAGCGAGTGAGACAGATGCCAGCATTAACTAAATAGACCTTGCTTCCACCACTGATTTGAAATGCCATTTTTATTATCAGCTGAATTTAAGTGCACATATGTGAGAAAATGAATATGCACTTTGAGACCTTGTTACAATCTAATGGCATATATATCTATTCCTGCTATAATTCAACACCGATAATCACTATAGTATAAGGATATGTTTTTATGTTTACGTGTACATATGTTATATATATTTATATAT